TTAGGTTGGCTTTTTCCTGGGCGCCAGTTGTCAGTTGCCCCATCTGGTTCAGCAGGGGTCCAATGTTGCCCTTGCTTTTCCTCTGGCTCCCCACATATCTGAAAAAGGACTTTTTATTGTCCTTGATGCTTGAAGCTAGTTGGAGTTCAGTTGCAGCTTTGCCTTTCCTGGTTTGCTCCCTGCAGGACTGGACCAGTGCAGAATAATCCTCCTTGGAGAGGAATCCCATCCTCCATCCTTTGTAGGCTTTTCTTTTTAGCCTTAGGAGGTCTGCTAGGTCACTGGAGAGCCGGGGGGCTGCTGTGCCCTCTTGCTGCCTTTCCTTTGAGATGGAATAGACTTAGCTTGTGCATTGAGGATCGCTCCCTTGAGGAGCAACCACTCTTCTTGAACTCCCCTCTCCCTGGGGTCATGGTCCCTTAGGGCTTGACTGACAATCCTCCTGAGCTTGTCAAAGTTGGATTTTCTGAAGTCAAGGACTTCTGCATTGCTGACTGACTTGCCAGCTTTACGGCAGATGGTGAAGGTGATCAGCTCGTGGTCGCTGTCACCCAGTTTCCCTTCGATCACTAGGTTGCTGATTAGGTCATCTTCTGTAGCCAGTACCAGGTCGAGTAGCGCTTTGCCTCTTGTTGGCCCATAGACTTCTTGAGTCGGGTAGAGATCATCCACGCACAAGTAGGTTTTGAACAACAGAAACAAAACAAAATATGCTAGAGTGAGTTAAAAAAATTATCAAAGTAAATAGGGCTGTTGCCAGTAAGCGACACTGTACCTGAAATATGACAGTGTTGGATGTGTGCAGTAAATTAGTGGAGTCAGCCCTCAAATACATTGAAAGAAGTTGCCAATAACTCATAGATGATTACAAATTTTTGGATTAATTGTTTTGCCAAAAGACCTAAACAGCTTTGGAAGCTGACAGCAGAATCCAGGGGAATGCCTCAGTAGGCTGCAAGTCGCATATCCTCTTGCTTGCTGTCCTGACCTCTTGGGCCTCTGGATAGCCAAGAATTAAAGATTCAACTGTAACAGGAGTATACCAGCAGCCTAGCCTAACCCATGGGCTTATGACTTAGGATACTGTCCTATGAAGTGAGAGGTGTGGGTTCAGTTGTCTGTGGCCTGAGTGGGGCCTGGAATCCAAGTCTCCTACTTCTTGGGTGAGTGTTCTAATCACTTGGCTATTGTGGAAAATCTGTGTGGGGCCTACTTTTTCTCCACCCCTCAGCTTCAGGCAGTTGTTTGTCAAGATTTTTGCTATCTAAGGAATTAGGATGATTTTATGCATTTCCCAGATAGAAGAAGGATTGTTGTATGATTAGGTGCTAGTGAGGCATTTAGGTAGTCATTCTGACTTGCTTCTGTGCATATGTTATTCCAAGACTAATTGCGTAGGGATTTTTCAGGCCAAAATGGAGATGCATAATGAAAAGGGTGAGGCTTAATGCAGTGATTCCCAAACTCTGCCAGATTGCAGACTACCAATTTAAAACGATACAGTCTTAAGTACCACTAGCAAATTTTTGTCATATAAAGTAATTATAATAAATCTGTTAACGCATACCACTGACAAGTTGTCTGCCTACCACTGGTGGTACATGTACCATAGATTGGAACTGCTGGCTTAGTGGGTTTGTGGCTGTTGAGCAGGGTCAGGCAAGACTACACTTATGGTAGCCTTCTGTTTCTTTTTCGGTTATTTAGATCAGTGGTCTCCAAAGTGGGGTGCGCAAGATGATCCATTGGAGTGCAGGAAGGAAACATTAGAATTTCTATTTCTATTTATTTTTTATCTAAAAAAATAAGAGAGAAATTGAGCTTTACTAATATTTAATATACAGATTGACACTGGCGCCTTCACTCGGTCCATATGTGAGACGGTCACGTGTCATGTACGGTACACGAGGTATCCTGAGGGAAGAGTGGGAGTTCCACAACACAAAGAGGCTGACAGTGGTGCCCTCACTCGTTTGTTCGCTTTCAGTATATTGTGAAATATATTGGGGGTGCGTGCTCAAAAATTTTTTATTGATAGGGGTGCACGATTAAAAAAGTTTGGAGACCACTAATCTGGATGACCAGGTATGGTCATCTAAGTCCCAAAAATGCCACTTTCACACAGATTAGCACTCTGTTCCTGTAACAGTCATATGCATATGAGTGGCTACATATACTCCTAGAAAAATAATGCTAATGTATGTAAGTGGCATTAAAAACTGTGTGCGAATCACTTTGACATCTTAAAGGTAGATGAGAATCTGAGCCCTTTCCAATCTGTTGGACTCTTTGATCAGCCTCTGAACCTCCAGTAAAGCATTTGTATCCTTCAGTACCACCAAAATTCCTACTTGGATTCTAAGCAAACCATTGGGAGTCTTGGGGTATAGCTGTGCTGTTAGACCAACATGTCTTAGCAGGACTAACCCTCAGCCTTTCCTACTTGCATGCTCCAGATCTGAAAATGAAGTTGGAGACTACTATCCCAGAGGTGCTGCAGTCAAACATGCAGGAAACCAAGGTCTCAGCAGCAGCTTGGAGCAGCTCCCTGCTGTTGTATCTCTAGTTTGGAGCATGCAGGAGCAGTGAATGGGCTAGGCTTAGGGCTGTCCTTGGTTAAGACACTGTTGCCATTATGTAGACATGCTCGTAATTTCTTCAGTTTATATTGGGATTTTTTAAATGTCTTCAGTGCTCTACTTCCAAATGTTCATAACTTAGAAAGTGATCAAATTTTGCAAATTTGACTGAAAACAGCCTAGAGAAAAGGGGAAATGATCAGTTTGCACAGATGTGATCACCCTAGGCACTCAGACTGTTAAAGAGGTTGGTGGTGAGGTTCCAGAATCTAGCTACTTAATTTAAAAAGTAGGACACTGGTGTTTCTCTTAAGTCTGAATAAGAGTACCTTGCTTCAGGTGGGCAGGAGCAACAGAAAAGGGCCAAATTGTTGGTTCATGCATAGTCTCAGAGATAATAGGGAAACTTTTAGCAAGGCCTGGTGTTACTGGAGAGTCATGGTAGGATAGCGTTGTAAACTGGAAAATGATGCGATGAAATACTGAGTTCCAGAATAGCATTGTGGCTGCCACAACTATAGGGACAGATATTTAGACCCATAGCAGTACTTTGAACAAAAGCTATGGAGGGGGACCAAGTTTGATCCCATAGCATTTAGTAGCAAGGAAGGGACTGAGTGGAGAAAAAAGAATGAAAGAATTAAAATACAGCAGGGAAGAAGCTAAATGAGGATATGACTATACAAATTGAGACAGAGAAGGAGAAAGGAACAGTATATTTTCTGGAAGGAAAAGAGTTGAAAAGATGTTGTTAGATGTCAGCATGTGATTAAATTGCAGTGGTGGTAATTCACGTATTTTGAGGTCAAGAATCATTTTGCCATGAGCTTGCTGATGCTGCCTTTTGGCTTTTATGCTATGATTAAAATCTAGCCTAAAACCAGTGAATATCTTGTGAAATCAATGAATGATAGATATTTCACAGGTTCCTTCTGAATACAAATTCAACTCTAATAATGTAATATTAATATATATTTTTCCATTTCAGATTGTAGATTTAACTGTCACAAACGTTGTGCTTCTAAAGTACCTAGAGACTGTCTTGGAGAAGTGGTTTTCAATGGAGGTAGGAAAAAAATATTTTCAGGTAGTGACATATCTCTGGAGACTTGACAAAATATGCAGGCTTTGTTACTGTCTGGTCTTTTCATCTCTGAATATTTTAAGGATAAATTCCTTCTTTTTGTTACTTTTCATTTTTTAAGGAGAATTTGTACCTATGAGGTAATTGATTTAAGGTTTGTCATTGTAATACTAATTTTAAATTGAAATTCTTGGCAAGCTCAATACACTTTGTTTGAGATTTCTTTTGAAGTCTAGAGTTGAGAGGTTTTTGTGCAAAAAAAAAGAATTAAAATTGTGCTCAGTCTGCTTACTGTTTACCATGAAGGATGAAAACAACTGCTGTTTCTCATTGGGCATGTCTGCCCCTGCACTTTACTGCACAATAGACTAATTTACTGTGCAGTAAAGCATCACTGTCTACACATGTGCGGCAGTTAGGCCGGTATAGACTAATTTACTGTGCAGTTGGATAGTCCTGTCTTACACAAGTACTATCTGATGGCACAGTAAATTACTGTGCTTAAATGCATGTGTTGGTGATGACGGGGATGGCTGGGGCGTGAGGGTGCTTCAGTGTTGGCCTCGCTGGCAGGCAGCCCCCACACATCCTCCTGCCCCAGCCAGATGCTCTGCAGCACATGGAGACCTGTTGAAGCAGCTAGCCCAGGGCTAGCTTCTGTGGGGCTCCATGTGCTGTGGAGTGGCTGGCTGTGCTCTGTTGCACCTTCTTTTTTGCAAGTCACCCCAAACCTTTCCCCAAATACCCCTCATCTATGTGGGTGGGAGGTTAGGTGGCACTAGGTGTGGCCATAGAAATTCTCCACTGGCTGTCTCAAGTCACTTTAATTTGGTACCAGCACATAAGTGAGCGGCACAAAAAGACCTTAATAAACAAGTGAATTGAACCCCAAGACTTTTTGTATGGTTCTTTTATGAGAACTGTTTTGTCTGTGACCCCCCCACTCTGCTTGATTTGATGTATTTGTAAGCTTCACTTTACAAATGTTAATTCTTTGTGCATAATTAATAAAGAGTTTGAGAATTTTAAAATATATTTTCATTCTATTTTTATCTATGGATTGATAATTTTTTGCCTTTTGGACTGTTTTTTGTGGCTTTTCACTTGCTTAAAATAATCCTATTTTGTTGCTAGAACCTGCAAGTCCTGGCCAAGATTTGGATATGCCAATGGAAGTTGACAGCAGTGAAATGAACAGTGATGGCAGTCGGGGTTTGGATGATGTAGAAGAACCCTCTCCCCCAGAGGACAAAATGTTTTTTATGGACCCATCTGATCTTGATGTAGATAAAGATGAAGAAGCTGTCAAAACTATCAGGTAAACAGCAACCTGATTTGTTACTGACTCACCTTAACTCAGTGCTGTTAAGTAAGGCCTCAGATGAAAAACAATGCCTTTGCATAATTCAGTGTTTGTTATGGCTAGCCAAATATTTTAATTTGGATAATTTTACAAAACATTTCCAGTCTCAAGTAAAGCTGAAAACAAAGTTAATTAAAAGCGTAAAAATGATGCAGACTTTTTTTTAGCAATAGAAGCTATCAAAACAGAAATGAATCTCCATATTGAAAAATGGTTAAAACTACAGCTTAGTTGATGGACAATGCCATGCTAACCAAGATCTTCATGCCTATTTTATGCTGCTGACGTGGACTAAATTCATTCTTATTGTAAATAAAAGGAGTTATATAGAGGATGAGTTTAGTAATCATATTTGAATTATTTGTGAACTAGACTAATGAAAGTGATATTTTTAGTTTTTGAAGTTTTGGTTTTGACCAGTAAATATGCCTTAAGTGGTAGGGTATTGTTAGCATGCAAGGCAAAATTTGTTAGCATGTGCATATTTTGTAGGGCTTGCATCAGGTCATTGTTTGCCTTGTTTCTTTTTTCAAGTTTAACTTTTACTTTCTACATAAATTGAATAACATCAACCTCATTCTCTTAAACCATGTTTACAACCATTCCTATCAGTCCTACAGCCACTTTCAGAGATGGGAGCTCTGAGGTAGACAAATTTTATTGATGTCTTATCTAAAATTGCTTTTGGTTTATTGTTTGAATAGAATAGCATGGAATAGAATAATAATATAGGCCAGGGCTGTCCAGTTGGTGGTCTGCATGGAGACCCCAAGGGATGAACTGTAGCCCCTGGGCTCCTGGCCCAGATGCTGCTCCCCCTCTTTGCTCTGTTGTGGCTGTTGCCAGAGACTGTGGGCTTTCCACCCCCCTCCAGCTTCAGCTGCCTGCCTCTCCCCCTGGGAGTAGGGCAGAGTGATATGGCCGACTGGGCTGAGGGAGCCAGTGGCTGGAGGGCCTGGACTTGGGGACCCTATGCCTCATCTGCATTGGTGCAATACAGTGGAAGTTGCTTCCTGCCTGGTGGGATTGCGCTATGTATTGTGTCCACGTGCACTGGGGGTCTGCATATCTGTGGCTTATCTGCACATTGGGGCCATAGGGCATTGGGAACTTGCATGGTGCCTCAGGGGCCTGTGTGGCAAGGCACGTTGGGCCTCCACGTGGTGCAGCAGCATAAAGTAGAGGGGGTCTTCTGGTCTGGTATGTGGTCTGCATGGTACATGGTTGGGGATGCAAGTGGCCTCCAGCTGCTTAGAAGTTAGACAGCTCTGATATAGCATTAATGGCATTACTGTAATTTTAATGAAGGTAGATAGGGGAAAACATTCAGTTGATATTTCTCTTAATAAGAGAGCCTTATTTCTTTAATCATTTTCATTTTAGTCAATTGTGCCTTATCTTGCATCTTATTATAAGTGCCATAACATTTGCACTGGGGAAGCTAATAGGAACTTTTTGATGCCTACTTGAACCCCCAAATCCTCTCATTCATTGGATTACTCATTAAAGGGATGCCACTACTGTATACTTTTAATGTAGAGGTTGACCTTTACCTATCAAAACATAGCATGTTTAGATAAGAAAAGATGTCTCTTCCTAAGCACAGGTGAATTATATTTCAGTAGTGGTATATTTTCACATCTTAACTATTTAATTATATCATAAATACTTCTTTAACTTAGTCCATCAACAAGCAACAATATTCCATTAATGAGGGTTGTACAGTCAATCAAGCATACAAAAAGGAAGAGCAGTACAATGGTAAAGGAAGGATGGATGGTTCACTATACCAGCAGAGACAACCTGGTCAGTAATTCAAGTTTCCTCATGTATTTCAAAGATCACTTGTTTAAATTTAATAAATGAATTTTCTTTCTATTTAAAATGTAGTGATGTTCTTATTTTATTTCATTTCATTTGATATATTTATTTTTTTATATTTATATGCAAGAACACAATAGCCAGAGAGTTATAGTGGTGAGACTCTAGAGTTCCCAAAACTCTTATTCTGGTAATTCAACTGTATTTTTGTCTTGTTTTCTATTCCCTAGAAGTTTCTAAATTGCATTATTTTAACTACATATTTAAAATATACTTAAAGAAAATCCTGTTCTTCTAATATAAATTGTGTATATGAAGTTATTTACTTGTTTCATCCCTTTTTTATTCAGCAGTTACATTTTTGTATTTATGTGCAAGTGGCACCACTGTAACCAGCAATATCCAGCATACAGACATGTTAAAATTATCAGTGAAACAGATTAGTTAACAATGATCAATATGCATGTTTACTTAAAGAATTATAATTCCATAGAAATGTAGGTTATTCTACTACTCATTTGCTTGATGAACCTACTCAACTTCATCCAGCAAATGAAGCAGCCATCTTGTTTGATTTCCATTGGCAGTATGTACTGTGAAGCTTCTGTAAAAATTTAAATGTTTGGAAATGGAAATTTTAGCAATTGCATTTGTGCCTTATGATATTCCGCTATGTGTCTTGTAGCGAAAGAGACATTACTGGAGACTGGACAGCAAATGCCTCACGCTATTTCAAAATGAATCTGGAACAAAGTATTATAAAGTAAGTAATAATACACTCTGGTTTTCCAAGATACTTTAAAAACACTGGGTTGTAAAGTGTTTGCAACACACTAATGAAAATTTACTATTCCTGTTTTACAGATCAGAGCTGAGGCAGAAAAGTTAAATGAGTTGTCAAAGGTCAGAGATAAGAAGAGTCAGTACTAGCACCTCAAAAATTAACACTTAATTCCCTTGATTATCCCTCAGTTATTTTAGTTGTTGTTTACTATTAAAAATCTTGTTAAGAAAATGTAATACTCTGAACAGTTTATCTGAACAATATTTTGGAGAGTTTAACAAGGCAAGAATTTAGCTAAAGGCTAGGATTTTTCTCCTAGCATAGATGTTGACTATAAAGTTTTCATGCCCGTATGTTTATTTTAAAGTTCCTGAGCAAAAAAATTGCAGTTGTAAAGTTGGGAGGAATGTCTAAGCAAGATTAGCAAATGTCATCTTTGTAGTTATACCATGTTGTGTAGCCCTTTAATAATGGAGGCTTAAAAATAAGTTTAGCATGGCATTAATATAGTCGTGTGTTTTGTGGTAAGGTACTTGAAATGTCTCTAATTAAAATATAAACAAATAATTTCTCTTTCTGTCTTCCCCTACACCTTTAAGAATTGTCCAAATCTTGCAGTTTCTTTCTCCGTATGGTCTTTGATTCAGCCTTTTCACCTGTGCAAACAGCTACAATTCTTATCCAGGTCCTCCTCATCCTTTTCTTGACCAATACAGTCTTCTCCTCTCGGACATTTGTGACATTTATGTTGCCCCACTTTCAACACACGTGTTAAGGTTATCTTCTTTGCCTGTTGCTCCCACCTTGTTACCGCACTGCCTTTTTGAAACCTTTCACTTACTCCCTGTTTTCTATCACTTAAGTTCAGGCCTTTTTGTCTTCACCTTTAAAACCCTTCACAGTTCTGCCTGCCACACTTTTCTACTCTTGTATCTTGTTGTTCCCTCTTACTCCTGCAATGCCAACCTAGTTCACCTGCTTGTCTATTCTTTCAAGCATCTTTGCTGCTACCTTCACATGAGCATGGAATACCCTCCCCTAACTAGTCTGGAAATTTAAAACCACTTCTTTTTAAAATCTCTTCCCCAAGACCACTTCTACCATCATCTTATTGGAAATTGCCAGTTGATAACGGCAAGGTAGAGGAACAGTGGGGATTGCTAATGTGGCGATGATTTGTTTCATTAAAAAAATAATGAAATCAGACCTGTGAAGTTGTGCTCATGAGCTACCCTGCGTAACCACATTCTTTATTATTGCTCCCCTTGTCTCTCCTTTCACCATTCCTTGTCATGTTTACTTGTTGTGTCATCTTAGTTAGACTGTAACTTCAAGGAAAAAATGGTGTTACATTGTATATATTTTTCTGCACTGAATTCACTGGTCCAAATTTAAAGCAATATTGCTATGTATGAAAGTAAAAGGTAACCCAGTTACCTGATCCCATGCTACTGATCTGGAATGTGCTTCTATTTAAGCTCGTAGCAGTCCTGGTTAAATACCAAGTGTATAAAACAGGATCAGAAGCAAGCTTAGAATTCCTTCTGGCCAAGTACAGAACAGTTTGGGAAGGTTGGGGGGTTGGTAGCAATATGGAGCTTGACACTTACAGTTACTCAGGTGGTTAATTTGTTATGGCTTTTAACTTGTTATTTAAAGTTCTGTGCACCAGTATGTTATAGATACGTGTACACTTTCTGTTTTTCTTAATGCTTCATATTTTTCTTCAGGAGATTCCACTTTCAGAAATTCTCCAGGTGATTCAGCCTCGAGATTTCTCAAACATGGTGCAGGGCAGCAACCCACATTGTTTTGAGATCATCACTGACACCATGGTGTACTTTGTTGGCGAAAACATTGGCAGCAGCCATCACAGTCCTGTTCTTGCTGCCACCGGAGTTGGATTTGACGTAGCTCAGGGCTGGGAGAAAGCCATTCGTCAGGCCTTGATGCCAGTCACTCCTCAAGCTAGCGTTTGCACTGCACCAGGACAAGGAAAAGATCACAGTAAGCAGGCAGACAAGGCACTGTTGTTCCTATACTCAAGCTGTAATTAATATAGGCTTCATTTCAGGGCACTTATGCACATAATTAATGCTAAGCACATGTTTGCTGAATTGGGGCTTTCTTTTTATGAACTTATGGAATTTTATCATTTTAACTGGGAATTTTTCATCTTATGTAGCATTAAATGGTAGTCGAGAATCTGTAATATTTTCATTATGAACGCATATGGGAGAACCTTTATTGTAGGAGTGTACAATTCACATGTGGCTTATGAATGTAATGCAGATCCTTGACTACAGTATTTGTAATATAAATAGTAAAACATGGGGTATTACTCATTTAAATTTATTGGATTCAGATCTTCTTTGGTAGACTTCTTTTATCATTCCTTTCAAATCTTACAATGCCCCTTTAAATTCTATATGCTGGAAGATGGAAGGGAGCTGATGGTGGGAAGTAAATGTTTCCAGTGGTGGAAGGAACTCCTGCTGTGCTGCAGGTACTAAAAGGGCAAAAGAAAGACATCGCCCTTCTTTTCCCTGCCCCCTTCTTTCTCTAGCAGAGGATCAGATTCACTGTCCTTGCTGCTCTGAATCAGATTTTCCAGTCTGTCTCTTCAAGTGCTTCTTCGCAGCAGCTTGGTAAAAACATTCATTCTTACCCCTTCTCTGGTTTATTTCCCTTCTCCTGAGCTTCCCCTTCACTGTTCTCTGTTGCTGGTGCTTCCCTTCTCTTCCTTCTTTAAATCTCTAGCTACAAAGATACCTGCTTATTCTGCATGGTTAGTGATATCTGCAGCAGCATTCAGCTATCAGCTTTTAAGCAAGAAGGGAAGGCATATCTTGAAAACACAAATAATGATGAGGGATTAGCATGAGGTTTAACAAAGACCTGTATTGGTATTTAAATTGGGGGATTAGTTTTCTAGTCCAAAAAAGCATTCCAAGCAGCCCTTCTATATAAGCCAGCTTCTCAAAATGAATTCCTTTAAAATACTAATAAAGACCAGAGTCTTTTTTTGGTATTGAAAACGTGCCCCCCCCTCCAAAAGCAATTAAGTAATAGAGGGGTTCTCAAACTGTGGGTTGCAACTCTCTGGGGGGTTTGCGAGCAACTTAAAAGGGGGCCACAAACTTTCAAGGGGGTATGCGGGGGGAAGTGGTGCACATCAGCGGCTGCCGTGTGTGAGCTTCCCCTCCCCTACTGCCATCCAGCACTTGGGGTCGTGGTATTACAAAGTTTGAGAACCCATGAAGTAATATATATAGTATCCAAACTTCATATATATATATAAAATATAAAAAAAAAAAAAAAAAAAGTGTGTGTTTGTGTGTGCACATACGTGCACAAATACACACCATATATATCTTTCTTGATAAGATGATATATTCTGAAAATCTGTTAGTAAATGAGTTGTTGGTGAAAGCAGTAATTAATCTGGCTATAGAAACTAAAAAAAATAATGGCTGCATATAGACATGCAGCTGTTGATCTATCAGGTGTAAAATCCTTAATTGTCTAGGAGGCAAACTATTTTATTTACATGTGCATTGTAGGTCTAGTATTTTTGTATATAAGTAAGGTCCTTGTAGTTGCATCTTTTATTAATTGATGATCATAGAGCATGTCTTTACAAAGATAGTTCTCCAGGTCTCAGTGTATGTGGAGTAACAGAACTCTCTTTAAGGAGTATGACGAGACTTAAAGCGGAAGAGTTGAGGGAGAGAGAATTCAGTATGGTACTATATGAGTAGAAGTAGCTCTTGAGAAGAATATTTTGAGTATAAATTAATGATGGCATGAAGTAGAATTCTAGTGTCTCTTCAAATGTGTATTGAATAGAGAATGGTCAGTCTGGTTTTTGCATGCTTTGTAGAATCTGTTTTTGGGAGGGTTCTATAGTGGGTCACCATCACTTATATGGTGACCAGCCCAATTTCTTACTGTGCATGTCTACACGTGCTGTTAGCGTGTAGCAATAAACTCCAGCATATATCACACTGGAATTTATTACTCCTGGATAGTGCATTTACACATACACCTGGGACTGCAGCACATTGAGCTGGGTCTGAGTAGCTCAGTTGGCAGGGAGCCCAGGGGGTCAGGCTGTCAGCCCAGGGCTGCTCTGACCCAGATCAGCATGGTGCAAAAGAACTGGCTGGGGCACGACAGTGCTCTAGTGTGGGACTAGCCAGCAGGCAGCCTCCCCATTGAAGCACACACATGTCCCAGTTAGCTGCATCAGCGTCTACACATGTGGTGCTGCAGAGTAAGAAACTCTGCAGTGGGATAGCACTTGTATTTACAAGTACTATCCTGCTGTGGAGTTAATTAGTTTCCTGTGGCCCAAAAGAACCACGTGTGTAGACGCAAGATGTTTACTACAGAGCCAGCCTACTCTACAGTAAATGTTTTGTGTAGATGTGCATACTGTTCAGGCTTTCTTACATTTGGCTATTCAGTGGTCTTAGTAACAGGAATTCTACAATCATTATTCTTCACTTAATCTACTTTATTTTCCCAAATCCAGGAAGAGTGTATCTTATTTTTCTTCTCCTGAACGCTTCTGTTTCTTGATCTAAATTGAATACTGAAGCCTAACCAGCTCAAGTAGAGGAGAACAACAGTGTGCATATGTGAAATTGAACCACAATTTCTTCAGTTTTCAGCTGTAATGTTAAGAGGAACTTAATTCCAGTGAGCTGGTGTTTGTTACCAAGTTAGCTCAGTAGAGCCTTGCTTTCAGGGGAACATGGATGGTTAGAAAAGCAGCAGCAGGCTTCCTCTTTGGGCTGTGGAACTGTGTTCCCAAAGGCCATTTTTGAGTGATAGATGGTATGATAACAGTACCATATTTATTTGTGTATACTATCCATGAATTTGTTTCAGCGTGGATCAACTTGGTCTTTGTTTTGTCTGAGAAGCTTGACTTCCATTTTGGAGTCTAAGGGCAAGGCAGTTTTTCCTGAATTAGTTTTTTGGTTTTTTGCCTATGCATCATATGATTATATTCTTGCCATATTTTAAATTGGTTGCCTGATGAGGAGAAATTCTATGTACTCTTAATTATCAATTGTCTGTTATTTTTTTTTAAACTTGCAAAGTGCTTCTCATTGCATCTTTTAGAGGCTTCCTTAAATCTAGGGGATTTATGGTGTCCTTTATCTGCCAAACATGAGATATATTTTTCCATTATTTTCTAAATGGGGATCTTCTATAGCTTGCTTTAGAATAGATGAATGTAATAAAGAAGAACCTATGCCTTTCTTGACTCTGCTGTTACTTAGTTTCTTAACCAAAGGAAAATGCTATCTTTTACATGCTTCCCTGTTTTTTCTAGCTCACTACCTGAAAATCTGAGTGTCACTTGATTTAATGAAGCAGTCAGCAGATCATGATCAGCTTCAGTTCCCAGCTCCTGAGCCTGTGTAAATTGTGCTACATTTTCTACCTGTTTTCCTCAATGTTGGCATTTTACTGCTTTTCCAAAAAATGTGTTGCAGAAATTCAACCCAAGACCACTTTACCTAAATCAACATGAGAGTACTCACTTTTGAATCTGAATGTGATATTCCTGCAGAATGTTGGGATACATTCTTTCACTGTGGCAACGTTTCTGGATTTCAGTTGCAAAGATTTTTAATCATTAACAAAGGTTTTTGTGCTATTCTCTTATGGTAGTATATTTTCCTTCTTATTGCAGAGGAGTTATCTCTCAGCATCTCTGTTTCAAATTGCCAGATCCAAGAGAATGTGGTGAGTCTCAGAAATGAAGTAAATAATAGTAATGTTATATACCCAGACTTTTCTTAAATGTGGCATACAAAATAGGGAAAGTTAAGCTTTGGAGTAGTGCTCCAAATTCTCGGGCTTGATAAATCTCCTTCACTAAGGGATGAAGACTTTAGTAAAGGATAATGAATGTTAGCAGCCTGTTTTTAACTGCTTGCTTGACTGTCTTTTATGAAAACCCAAGAACAAATGGAGTTAGTTTCAGAAAAAGAATGGGAGGAATGAGGGAGTTGAGATCCATAAATTCTCAGAATAATTGGATGGAAACTGGATATGGGTATCAGTACAAAATAATCCTTTCTTTTCTCTTTTTTTTCTCTGAACTATGTCTTACTCTATTTAATTTAGAGGGGCAGATTCTCAGCTGGTGTAAATTATCATAGGTTCACTGAAGTTTGTGGAGTTCTGACCGTTCAGCATAGTGTTTGAATTTTTTAAGCTATTTGTTAATAAAGTTATTTTAGCATAATTTAACCAGTACCAGTGAATCTTAGAATGGCTGTTTGTTCTCTGATTTACTCTTGATATTTATAGCTTACGTATTTCATACAATAGGATATCAGCTCTGTGTACCAGATCTTTGCTGATGAGGTGCTGGGTTCTGGTCAGTTTGGCATTGTATATGGAGGTAAGTTACTGTAGGTTCTCATCATTTATTTACTCATGCTGGCAGTATGGTTGGTCAGTGTATCTGTTTAGGTACCTTTCTATAAAGTTAAATATTTTGTATCTGTGTACTCATAACTAAGTTGTCTTGGTGGCATACAGTTCTGTTGCTATAGTTTTTAATGTAAAAAAATACCCGTGACATCTTTTGTTTTGGATTAGGGCTGTCCAACTTTATATCTGGAGCCTGACATTCCCCCAGGTTGCATGCTGCTGGCACCCCATTCCTCCTCTTACTGTACTGTGCTGTAGCCCTGGGTCTCCCAGAGCCACAAGCTCCGGGGGCCCCATGAGCCATGTTACACCACTCCTAGAGATAGAAGTGGGGACAGGAAGCTGAAGCCAGAGGAGGGAAGGGGCAAATGCTCTAGGCAAGAACCTGTGGGCTGCAGTTTAACTTTGTGGGCTGTATGTGGTCCACAGCTTGCATACTGGACAGCCCTGGTTTAGTTGCATCTGCTCTTTAGATATAGTACCTTCAGAGTACAGCTCTGTGTTCCATGTAACTCCATTTTTAAATTAGCTTAATGTTTTATCTTTAAAAAAATGTTTAGTGGGGTTTACTTAGTATTTGAATAGACTTAAGAACAAACTACAATTTTGGCTTGGAATCTACTGTATTTTGTACATTGTTTTGACAGGTTCCATTTTGATTTTTTAAAAAGGTAAAATGTTAACTTCAAGCTAGCTATATCATATAGGGCTGAATCCCTTGGTTTCTAATGTGTGCAAATTCAACATAAAAAGTTATACTTATTGAGACACAGTCAAGTTAGTTGCACTTGTCTGAAATATCAGTATTTGTGTAAATTGTAAAACTGAAAACTGTAGTAAGTTGTACCTGAAGTTCCTATGCTCAGAAGGGAAAAAATATTTTTGCTTTGTTTCCTTTATCCTTCTTGCAATACTTTTTAAATAATATATTTCACTGTGTCTCCTGTTTCTGTGCTTATTTTTAGTACAATAACTGAGAAATAAATTGTGTGGTTTTGTAATTGCATTCTTTAATGGCATAGGTGCATGTATAGCATTTGAGACTACTTGTCAGTGCTTTCAGTAGCACAGGGAGATGTTAAGCATAATTTTTTTCATCACAGGTCTACATTTTAGGATCTGGATTTAGTTCTGTTGTCACTTTTTATAAAGAAAATGATTATCCTGCAACATTAAATTTGTTTGCAATGTTAAAAGCATGAAGAAATCTTAGAAAATAAAACAGGATCTGATTTTCTTTTATCTCATGCATTCCTTTCCAATAGCAAAGAGTTCGATCTGCCAGAAAGCAAGGAAGGAGGCAGAAGAATAATGAATAATTAATGATTAATTTAAAGGCAGCAACCATTCTTTCCACTTGTCATTTTGTCTCCTTTGTCAAGGAAGCATTGTGACTTTACCTTTGTGTATTAGCTGTGCTGCTTAAATTTTTTTCCTTATTTTGCAAGTTTTTGTGATAGAGATGTACATTAACAGGCTAGTTGCTTAATCCAAAAACTTCTTGCCTTTTTGAGTCTCTAAAGTGCAATATTATACATAAAGGAGTCCCTTAAAATATGGGCCAGGGGATGAATGACTGTAATACAAATACAGACAATTAAACTTTATTTGTATTCACTTTCTGGCTTATTCCCACAGTTATTCTGTCCTTTGTATGTAACTCCCTTGATGTTTTGTACAGTTGCTCCTTGATTCTGTGGCTGACGCGTTCAATGTTCAGATGAAAACATTTGTTCAGATTCTTTAATTACATCATTTACAATTTATCTTAGGATAATAAAAATACAAGAAAATGATAGAGCCCATAACAGTAATCTGATATTAGTGCTACGTACTGACTGCATTGATTATACTGTATTCCTTTATTGCTGACAGTACAGGTTGCCTCTGATATCCTCATATAAAATTATTTTTTTTAATGAAATAAAAACTTGGTTCTACTTGCTTCAAAATAATGTTCAATGAATAATTTAAGGCATCGTTTTCATTGTTACAAACCCATAGATTTGAGAGTTTTACTAAGGCACTCTATTTACTGCTTAGAATGGAGACCCCTTCTCTTTTTTGCAGAACACGGTACATAATTTTATTTCTTTTTGTCCCCTCTAAACAATTAGAAGAAACAGGAATTAAAGGAGTTGAAAATATTGAGGAATAGAGGGGAAGTTTGATTGGTAGAAAGGTTTGCTAGCACTCCCAAATTCAAGGCCTATGTATTAAAATGGTTTTGAACCTGCATTTTTAATATTAATTCTTTTTTGTGTCCATGCAACTCTAGTTTATCCTCCTGTACTACATATCTGTCAGTCTAATGGTCACCTGCTTATATAGTCTGAAGTTTAATGTTTATATTTTGGTTTTTGTGTTAGTCTACTATTGATGTTATTTCTTTTGCACTTTGGCATAATGTACTATCTAGTAGAGCTAGGATCTCTTCCTTGGCATTTGTTAGTTATTTTTAACCCTGTGGAGGTCTATAATTTTTAGATTTATTTCTGTGTCTCCTGTCACCCAAGGACTTGTTTGGTATTCATAATGAATAACAAAAAAAAAAGTGCAAATAGGTATTTTGAAATCCACGCAAAACTTTTCCTGTCATTCTAGGCTACATCACATTTTCATAGACCTTTTAATCTGTCTTAATTATTTTGTTTTGCAATCACTGATTGATTGCCTTGCTGGCAGTTGGAACTTGAATCAGGTCTTCATTACATTGACCTCATTTTGTCCAGTGGAAATTAGCTTATGCTTTTGATCATTTATTTATAATGTAAATTTTTAAGGCAGGTACAGTGTCATGTTGATTTACTTCATGAACTTACTATAACCTGAGTAAGTCAAGGCCACCCATACTGAATACAGAATTACTAGCTAGGTTGTTTTATGTGACTGTAGTTTGGTGTCCTTGTAGCATATGTCTAACAATGCATATAGCATTCTCTATGCCTTTCTCACTACAGTTGTATATTTTTCTGTATACTTTTCTGAAAGATTTCAGCGCTTTTGAGCAGATATTTCCATGTTCTTGTTTTGTTACAAACTCATTCTAGATTTAATATTAATTTGTTAGATTATTAGTCTTTCTGTGTCTGATCTAATTAACATTGCCTCTTAATTAAGAGCTTAATTTTAATGTTCTAGAAAACAGCTTGGTAGGTACAGCGGGTTGCGGGGAGCGAAAATGGGTAGACAGCTACACCCAGCACTTGAAACATTCCTTCTCTGTAAGGCAAGGCAGGCTGTTTCACCTTGAATTGGTATAAATTCCACTTGAGTGGTACAGCTCCAGCACCTACATGCTTCTCCTAACCTCAAGTCAGTGTTTTTGATGATGGTGTTGTATCTCCTGGGGAATGCTGTGTTGTCCTTCATGCATACAACTCTTACTCGAGGATAAGCCTGTACATCTTTACGGTAGGTTCCTGCACGCTGTAGAAGTATTCTTTCTGAGCTCTGGAACAACACAAGAGAGGATTCCTACTGTTTCCTCATAGCCATTCCTGCCATGAACATCAGCCTGGAAGTGGGAGCCAGGATTTTGTAGGTTCATGTGGGATTAATGGTGTATAGGTCATTTGCATAAGAGGGAATGTTACTTAGTGTACCATTTATCAATGTGTAGACTAGACAGCAAAGCAGTATGCACAGAAAATGGCTGTATTTCAGGGTTAGAACTTGTCATACTTGTCAGGCAGGTATTGAACACTTATACTTCTGGAAAATATGCGTTTTCCCTGTAACTTTTTATAAAGAGGAATGATTATTTCAGCCATATGATAGCTGATGTCACCTTTCTTTCAGGAAAACATAGGAAGACTGGAAGAGATGTGGCCATTAAAGTCATTGATAAAATGAGGTTCCCTACAAAACAGGAAAGTCAGCTTCGCAATGAAGTGGCCATTCTGCAGGTACAGGGAGATGCATTTTTAATATACGTTTGAGCTGATTGTTCTAGAAAAAATATAGATTTGTAATTAATGTGCCAAGCCACCCTGAAAGAACAGGGAGCCTGATTGTCAGCAAAATCAATACCTTTTTGCTAGCTGCTGTTTATTTACTGCTGTCACTGGGCCCAGTGACATGTACCTTGGCTTACTGATGACTGCCCCAAGAAGCAGACAAATTCATGTGATTTTTGGATAGCTACTTTTCTTGCCTGTCTATCCATATATTTTTTTCTTACCTCTGTATTATCTAATTGTGTCTGATTTGAAGTGGCTCATTTTGTAGACAGTCCGTGGATATAATTTCAGTTAAATAGAACAGTTAGTTCCAATGGTCAGCCTGCCAACACTTCATGTGCTAAGTCTTTCTACCTTAAAATATTTTCATTTGTTTGTCCTAGGCCTTTGTTTCTTATATAACTCTCAATTCATTTGCTTTTGTAATCGTAATTCAGAACTTTGTTTCTGTATTTGTATAGCCAGTTGTTTGAGATTCACATTCTTCATGTTAACCTTTCTCTAGAATTTGCACCACCCTGGGATTGTAAACCTGGAATGTATGTTTGAAACCCCAGAACGAGTCTTTGTTGTGATGGAAAAGCTGCATGGAGATATGCTAGAGATGATTTTGTCCAGTGAGAAAAGTAGGCTTCCAGAACGAATAACCAAATTCATGGTAACCCAGGTTGGTATTCCATTGCTGTCTGACCCCTTTACTTCATAGGCAGATTTTGATCTCTTATGCTTGTGTAGTAACTGAATGTACCCTAAAGGATAGTCTAGATTCAGTCATTATTTTTCAGGGGACACAGCAGTAATGGTAGGCTTCATATCTAATAGAGGTTGAAATGATGTGAAAAAAATTCAGATTTTTATTTTGAATGGCAATCTTCACTAGTAGTTTTTTTTTTAAGGTTAATTGCTTACATTTAAAGGGACATCAGAAGTTAAGTTTTTACAAAGGTACATGTATGTCTGGTTTAAAAAAAATAAAACAAAAATAACACCAGTTGAAAATTTGATTAGGGAAGCGAGAAGAAAAAACACCTTTGTATTCCTTCAGTGTGCTGAAAAACTGACGTCTGCAGCCCTGAATTATTGTATTGCTTATTATAGGGCTCAGCTACATTTAGGAGCAGTGGGCTGGTGCTTTTGACTTGGCCTGTGTGCATGCAAATCACCACTAATACCTGAGCTTTGCACGCCAAATAAAATTGTTCTTTTGGGCCCTAGGTTGCTGACCCTGACTTAGTATGTCTGATCTTTAGTGCCCAGACGCTTGCACTTGCTGTGCCTCTGTTAATTCTGAAAATGTGTTTTCTCTTTTTTTAGATACTCGTTGCTTTGAGAAATTTACACTTCAAAAATATTGTGCACTGTGATTTAAAACCGGAAAATGTACTACTAGCATCAGCAGAGCCATTCCCTCAAGTGAGTAAAGGTTTAACTATATCTCCTTTTGCTGTTAATTTTTTTGGATTCGAGGATTCAAAATTAGTCTGTCACGTGGCAGTGTTATGCTGATGGCAGCCAAAATCTAGCTAGAATTACTTGAATTTGTCTGAATTTAGTTTAGTTTGTTCATCTCTTCAAGTACTGTGCCTGACCTTTGGTGTGTAAAGGGAAATAAGATTCCAATCTAAATGAGAGCTTTCTAGCTGTGTAAGTGGATTTTTGGTGCTTTCACACAGGTTGTGATTGTTACCCTTACAGTGTGGATACATAAGCATTCACATGCAGACTGAGTATGCACAGTAGACTATGGGCTGCCTAGGTATGTGCATGGATGTGTAGGTACACCTGACCTGTATGTACTGCTTGGATGTATTGTCCTTCATGGTACAGCTGGGGATGGGGAAGTCATGAACATGTAGCTGGCCAGAAAAGCATAACTAATGGGTGTGGGGGAGAGACAACATATTTTGGTTGAAGTGGCTGAGTGATTATGGCACTTGACCAAGAAGTAGGACAAGTCCTCCCCCTTGGACCTGTGTCTCTCTGCCTCTTCCCTTCTATTACCACAGCACCACAGGTTAGGCATTATCTAGTCTTCTCTCCAGTGTTCTTTGTGAAGCTGAGCCACTGCACTTTGCATTTAATACTTGATAACATACATGGAGAACAGGGCAGTGGGGAAGTTTCTGCCTCACCAGGAACAAGGAATTAGGCAAGAAAATAACACCCCTCACTCCCTGCTTCCAGATCAGTACCCTTTTTTGCTGAGCCGCACAAGCTCACCCTCAAGCTCACTCTGTTCTTCCTGACCCCACATATCTCCCTCTTTTGACTGCCCAGTGGGATGGCTCAAAAATAAATGCTAGAGAGGAGACTGATAATGGCTAGCCTGTGGTGAGATGGTTAGAGCAGTGGGCTAAGAAGTCAGAGATGCAGGTTGAAAGTCCCCCTTGGTTGGGTCTGTCTAACATTTTGATAGGGACTGATCAGTGGGTCATTCCTTGATCTTGGTTAGGACCCATAGACATGAACAGAATACAAACTGCTAATAGTTTAGTTCCTCTAACTAGCATGATTTTTTTGTAGCAGGCTAACTTTGTGTATCATACTATAATGCAGCACTAATATTATTCATAATACTTCCCCCAATATGTCTGATTTGTTAAATACGTTGACAGAACTACTGCTAAGTACCACACTCTGGCTGCTGGTAGATGCTAAGGCAGCTGTGTGACTAGAGTCTGAAAAAGTATAAACCCTATTCCCCAAATTGCAGACACCATGCTTTGTGTAGCAGTGGGATTGGGACATACTTCCTCAAACCCCAATCACATGACTGCCAGCATGGGGGGAGGGGCTGTACCTCACTTTGAACATGGAAGTAGACCCTCCGCAGTTGTTGGATCTGTGACACCCTGGACATTTGAAAAGCATGTGCACAGCTGGGAGCTCTGGCTGAATGCCTGCATGCTTTTATATGTTCCCAAGCATTGTAAGCCTGACACTGGGGAGAAGCTCCTTGATGTTGAGCTCATGGTGCCCCCCATGCCACAGCTGGAGATGCGGAAGCCAGTTTAAAGATGTGCCTGTGCAAGCAGTGGGGAATGGGGAATCTCCCTCATCCCCAGCTGCTAACACTGAACAGCTCTTTTAACAGGCAAATGCAACTGGAGATGGGGGAGCTTTCCCCATTCCTCACTGCACATGTTGGGGGCCTCCCTAAACTAGTGCAGGCAGCAGCAGATGGGAAACGCTTCTTTGTGCCGGGTGCATTTTTAAAGTGGCGTGTGCAGCTGGGGATGGGAAAGCTATTCCATTCCTGGCTGCACTTGGTCCATTTAAAGAGCTGCTTGGCACGAGCAGCTGGGGATGGGGAAGCATCACCACTGCGCCGCCCCCCCCCACACACACACACACAAATACACCTCATGTCAGGTGCCTCCTCCAAACTGGTGTATGCAGCTGAGGATGGGCTCTGTCATCTCCCCACCTCCAGGAACGAGCGGTCTGTGCGCCAGACCCCCAGAGCTGCTTCATGTCCTGAGCCTTGCCAGGACCTAGCACCATAAAAAGCCTTAAAGGTTGCAGGCTGCAGAGCAAGGCTTTCCAAGGTGCCAGGTCCTGGTAAGCCTGCATCCTGACATGGACTGTCAACTGATTGTCAGTATTGGGGTGATGGGGCATTCCACACATTCAGTTTACGGTGCCATACAAACTAGCTACAAAGATGTTTTTTGAGTAATATGTTTGTGGCTGGTTTGCCATTTTGTGCTATCATAAATTTGATGAACGTGTGGCCAGTTACCATTTTTGTTGCATGATTAACACTCTAATCACCTCAGAATTATAATTTATGCCAGGGGTCTCTCTTTTGGGCACTCAAACATCTGTGAAGTCAACCAGAAGATTGTCAGTTTAACGGTTCTGTGCTACTTTTACAGGTGAAGTTGTGTGACTTTGGCTTTGCACGCATCATAGGTGAAAAGTCTTTTAGGCGCTCTGTGGTGGGAACCCCTGCTTATCTTGCCCCTGAAGTGCTCAGGAGTAAAGGTTACAATCGCTCTCTGGATATGTGGTCAGTGGGAGTTATCATCTATGTAAGCCTTAGTGGTACATTCCCATTTAACGAGGATGAAGATATAAATGATCAAATCCAAAATGCAGCATTTATGTATCCACCAAACCCTTGGAAGGAAATTTCTAGCGAAGGTAAAGAAATTGGAGAGAACACTTATAAGATGTTCTTTTAAAATTGTTATATTGTATAGTTTTTTTTGTTACATGTAGGTCTTTGGAATTAATTGTTTTTGAATTGTATTATGAGTTTGAGTCCCACACAAGTGTGAAAATTGCTGACAGCTTAATGACTCTCTGGCAAAGTAATATAATAGATGTGAAAAATCTTGTTTAAATGTGATAACATTTAAGTATTATTCTTGTGAAAAGAGGGACCAATGGATTTAATATCCAGATTTTCAGAAAGTGTTTTGATAAAAGTTGACACAATAGCTTATTTTATGGAAAAAAATATAGCTTGGATAACTTTGCTGAGGTTAAAAACAGGAGAACTAGAATTATGGATGTGTATCTTTTCTGAAAGCCAATAAAAGGTTACATTTTGCAAGTCTACATGTTGTTTCATATTTTAAAATATGTTATTGACTATTTAAGTACAACTGTGTATGTACATTCAGATATACAGATACATATAAAATATCTGCAAATAGTTGGAATTTTGCTCTAGAGCAGTCTTAAGTCCAGGATAGTTTGTATCTGGAGTTTTTGGTCCAGTCCTTTAATGAAGTGGATGAACCAGAATATGCAGATCTAAAGCCAGACGTCACCAAGGCTTAGGATTGTTCATGCTTGGACCTATCACTTGTGTTAAGTCTTAGAAATCATTGGTATGATTCAGCTTCATAAAGATAGGGTATATATTTTAGGTCACCCTTTTGGTGTTGCATGTACTGTAAATAGATTTGTATTAATGCTGTAAAATTGCTGAACATTTTTTATTATGGTCTCTTCCTTCCAGCCATTGATTTAATCAACAATCTTCTTCAAGTGAAGATGAGGAAACGTTTCAGTGTTGACAAATCTCTTAGTCACCCATGGCTACAGGTAGAAACTAATGTCTCTTTTATTTGCTAGGCTAAGAGCTGTATGTAGTTCTGTCATTTTAGATTCAGAGAACTTTATTAAAGATTGATTTTATGTTTAAAATACTACTGCCATGCTTTGCAACCACTGAGGTGGCAACTAGAATAACACTTTAACATTGAATGTGCCCATTCCTTCTCCCCCCTCATCTTTGGGAACCTTCCATCTCCTGATGGCTTCCTTCCTCATGTTGATAGGATTCTTGCCTTGTACTTTCAAGGGTTACTGTAGTGTTCTCATTAGAGGTCTGCCTTTTCCCCTTCAAAAGAACTGTAAAAACACCCTTGACTTGCATAGAGTTGACCTGTAACCAGAATATAGCACTGTTGTACATAGGAGAAGTCAACTCATGGCTCCTTTTGGGGCCACAGTAGTTGGTCATAGTGATGGCAGAGCAGATGACTCTGCAGCAGGCCCATAATAGTGTCGTACTGTCATCTACTCTGTATAATAGTGAGTGTTCCTTATGAGTGCTTAATTACAGTGGCTGCGAGATGGTGAGCTCAGCTTGTGTGGGGAAAGGTCTCAATGGCTGGGTAACTGATCAAGGATTTTATCTGTACTTAGTGACTTGCATAGTGAGGAGAGGATATTCTTCCAAAAATTAAACCTGAAAATCTGAGATCAGTTTATATGCAGGGCGAGCCTATAATTGGAACGATATAGTGTGTCAGTTTTTTCGGTCTGTCCCAGACTTACTTTATTTCCTATCTAACAGTAATATGTAGAGTTTTGCTCATTACAGCCCACTTTTTTCCCCTCAGTTCTGTCAATTACTGATACACTCAGCTTCACCAAGCATGTGCATGGATCTCAGGAACAGAACAAAGTGTAATTTGTAACGTGATTTGTACTCATTCCAGAAGAGGCAACTTGTAGCTGGGGGAAGGAGTTGAGAGAAAACTGCCAGTGTGGTTTATGCTTAGCTTCTAGGGCTGTGCGAAATTTTGCCAGCTGTTTTGATTCGACACTGTTTCAACTCATTTTGAGCTTGAAACAGCAAAATCGAATCGAAACAAAGGGCTTCAAAACAGCCTTGAAACAAAATGAGGCTAATTGAAATGTTTTGAAAGTTTTGAAATGTTTTGCGTTTCAAAGGCAGCAATGAGGTGGTGGGAGATGGGGGGGCGGAACCAGGGCTGTGCTCTCAGGAGCACCCGGGAGTGCAGCTCCGGCTCTCCCCACCTCTCGCTGCCAGACTGCGAGAAGCTGATCACAGTGTAGGGGAAGGGAATTGAGCCCGGGTTCAGTTCCCCTCCCGAGTGCTGTGATTGGGCTGGGGAAAGGAACTGAGCCTGATTTGCTCAGTTCCCATCCCCAGTGCTATGATCGGGCTGGGGTTGGGAAGTCAGCCCAAGTGGGCTGAGTTCGACCATCGTGCTAGGGAAAGGAACTGAGCCCAGCTGGGCTGACTTCCCATCCCAGCCCAATCTAGCATGGTGCGGGGTGGGGTGGGGGGAGAGATGGGAACTCAGCCCCGCTGGGCTGAATTGTTTCCCCAGTGGGATGGTCAGGTGAAACGTTGAAACAGCCTGTTTGCATGAAGCGAAATGGAACAGCTGTTTCTACTCAATGAAATTCGAAACAAAACACTGTCCTGTTCAAACCTTGAAACTCAAGTCAAAACAGAACAGTGCTGTTTTGCACAGCCCTATGGCTTCCTCTCCCTTCTTTATTTAATCTCAGTTTTTATGTCTAGGGAATTCTGAAGGAAAAGCCCAATCAGCAGTTCTTTGAGATTAATGTTTTAATTGCAACAATAATATGTTTATATACATAATTTAATTTTAACCTAGTGTCTCTCAGTTGTTATATGTCTGCTTTGGAATCATTTACCTTTGATAAATTACAGATATTAAATTTAATTATAGAATTAAAATTGGAGGGATTGAATTTATTTCAGGTTAGGCTACTGCATGGGAACCTAGTCTCATTTTGATTGATCTTTGTCTTCCAGTTAATCATCTGCAATTAAAGCCTAGAACTGCAAAATTTCTCTGACTATTGTGCTGCTATAAAGTTTCTTGAACCAGTCCCCTTTTTGTTTTTAAAGGATTATCAGACTTGGCTTGACCTGAGAGAGTTTGAAACTCGTATTGGAGAGCGTTACATTACCCATGAGAGTGATGATGCTCGCTGGAAAGAACATGCTCATGAGCACAACCTTGAATACCCCCAACATTTCATTATGGCTCCAAATCCAGACGATATGGAAGAAGACCCTTAATTTTCATCATGTTAACTGCATTACAGAAAGGCACTCCAGGCAGAAACTGATGCTGATACTCCCCTGAACAGCTGTTACTCCTTTGGATGATGTTTGTTGATTCAGTCCCCAAACCATGAAGGATCCTGCACTGGCAAGCAGCTAGATGAAGTGATCTGAAAAATGTTTCTCCATCTCTTAACTTCAACTATGAAATGTGATCTGACAGTGGGATAAGCCCATAGCAAGTTAGGTAACATTTCACTAGCTACATGGTTACAAAGCCATTGCTGATGTGTTATGCATACAGACTGAATGTGTGGTGTGCGTTTTCCACGTTTTTGTAGCCTACGCAATAACAATTTTTTATTGTTTCCTACTCCCTTATTTACTAAGCCATAGAGTACTGTTTTCTGGTATTTAGATACATCTCCCCTTTGCTAGGTTGTAAATTGTGGCAAGAGGCTGTAAAAAGAACTCAATATTGTATACCTTGACTAAATCACATCAAAATATGCTGAATTAGATTGTATACTCTGACAGGTGAAAGAACAGTTTGTCACTGTTAGACTGGTTGCTTATAGCCCTATCAAATTGAAAGACCTTTCTCCAGATGTTGGAAGAAGATAGCAAGACCTCATTTTATGTTCCTAATGAATGTTAACTGACAATCTAAAGAAAAGACAATCAGAAATCTGAGTAAGTCCCTAATGCTGTCCATTTAAACCACGATAGGATGTACATTAGTGTCCAAGATTTGCACGTGCCTTGGATAAATACCAATGGCATTTTGCCTTAATTTCCCATATAATACACAAATAGCTCACAAGGCTTTATGTAGCATATCCGTCCCCTGGGAAAACAGTTTCTTGTGGAAGGGTGTGAAAAACTACAGAAACCATATAAAATGCATTTCTTTTAGTTTGAATAACAAACATTTTAATATTGAACACTCGTTGCAGGTGCCCTGGACTTACCCTTTCACCAATATTTGTGGCCTAACAGGTGCTTTCTATACTCCTTTTCTACTAAATGGAATTAGGGTCCCACTTCCAGTTTCAAGAGAACACAAGTTAAAGTGGCTGCAGGCCTACATATGGCTGCTGCTGGGACAATAGAACAAAGCATCAGTCTCTCCTAGTTCAGCCTACTACCACATTTTGCTTTCCAGTCTTTCACCTGCACTCCCCTCTCACCTTTTTTCCTCTGCTACTTTCCTTAACTCTGTAATTTTTATGAAACTGAATTTGTGAGGCCCAGAGACACTCCCAAGTAGCTTTTTAATAGACCTTGGTTTACAGATGCTCAGCCATTGAGTGCTGCAGCAGGATGGAAAGGAAGCTGCAGCTTCCTTCAGAAATGATGCTGCCAGAAGATAGGTCAGCATCCCAAGTCTGTATGGTTTCAAGAAAATCCTGTGCTCAGTATTTTACATGGAGGCAGAAGGGGGGAAAAAAAATCTTCCTTCCATGTAACATTTTTTAGTTTGTTTAATGACCATAGATTTTCTCTTTGCATCATGTGAATGCAGTCACATTGGGAGTTTGATGCATGGTTCTGTATATCCCAGATAACCACTCCCAGTTCTGAAACTGAAGTTAGCTTTGGACACCTCTATCATGATTTTATAAGTAAATACCTCCTAGGTTTTAACTGCAAGGGCAGTAGAAACCTTTGGTGCGGCCCCAGTTTCTTAGAAGAGCTATCTTTTTGTATTAATGTTAATTTTTCATTGTCATTATTCAGGTAAGAGCAGGGAAGTAGATTTTTAATGATGGTTTTGCAAAGTTGTTTCAGGGTTATCAGCTATTCTTACATACACATGTGAACTGGCAGTGATATCAGTGGAAATGGCACAAGTGCATATCTGAGAGTAGAGCTGGGTCCATAACATACCCTTTTCCTGTTGTTCTTTCTCAGCCCAGATTATGTTGCTCCATTTTGTAGAGATCCATGTTACAAGCAGCTTAATCCATAGAGTGAAATTCTGAGCTGCCTTCCCAAATGGGACAGCAGTCACCTTTACCCCATTACCTGGAATACTGGTTTGTTCCTGAGACTGTCATTATATGATTTCTCCCTACAGCCACCAATGGGGTGATTTGTGCTCTGTACACTCCTTGCCTTACATATGCCATCTCCTAGCTTGCCCATAGTCTCAGGTTAGTGCAGCAGGCTTTATACATCATTCCGACACTGGGCAAATTCTCTCCCACGTGTGCTGCTGAAGCAGCGTAAAGGAATTACACTGGGAGATTAAATTTATTCTTTATCTTCGGAGCTCCATCCAAGGAAGATTTGCAGATTGGTCTTTTTACTGAGTGGAAGGAATAATTTTAGTTTTTGAAATAGAATGATAGCTTCTGGAGTTGTTGGGCTGTTAGTGACCAGTTTTTGGAAGAAATGCTTTCTTTTTTAGCTGTCTCCATTTCTCAGGTGATAAATTTCAGAGACGCCATTCTTCCTTTAGCCTACCTTCACTTCAGATGTGGTTGGGCTGCTTCTGAACTTTGACTTGATGTTGTTAACTCATTTCAAGACCTTCAGTTGCATTTAAAGGCAGGGGCTGGGGGGAGCACTGAAGCAGGCTTGGAGGAGAAGCTGGTTTTAATGGAGTAAGAGGCCTATGCTCCATTTCCCCTCTGTGAAGTGCTGCTTTCCAAAAAGGAGCTACTCAGAATTCCCAATTTCAGTTAAAAAAAAAAAAAAAGAGAATGGGCTTAATATTAAAGTACAAATTGTTAAAATTTAGATTTCATGAGGTTGGGAGATAAGATTATGGAGTTGAAAGTTAACCTACCAAAACCAAAAAATTTAGAAAAGAAATTATTAGTGAAATTTGCTTAGTTTTTCGTGCCCCTTCCTCTTATCCTGTGACTTTTTCATGGCGGTAAGATGCATTTCAAAAAAAAAAACTCCTCCGCCAATGAAATGCATTGCATTCATGCAAGTAGTGCTATGATGCTAGAAAAAAAGCTCGTGTAAAACTTACAGCCTCAAAAGGACACTGTCAAGTACTTTTTATATTTTTATACTTCCCATTGTTTGTAAATATCCTCTGATAAGCTTGAAAATAAAATTTATTTCCCTATCAGATTTGTCCTGTTCCATTTGCATGAATTCCTTCCTTCCCTTTGCTTTAAAATGTCCTTTAAAACAATGTTTTGCGTCTGTACTTGTGTTGATCCATTCATAGCTGTGGGAATTGGGTTAGTTTACTGCACCTACAAAACAAACAGCTCTTTAGCACAAATCTTATGAACAGTGACTTGGAAGATAATTCCTGACCTCCATATTTAGAATCCAGAGGACATCTCACAACTACTTTTAATATATTACAATTTAATAGTAAGTAAAGTGTGTGAGGTTTTATCTATGTTGTAGTATCCCTTAATGGGAAATGTTTTGGATTTTCACTTTCATATTGTTGAATTCTGGATTATAGTCCAGTATCCTCTTGTAGCAGTTACTTCTTGTAGTTCATTCTTTTACCAAACCAGTAGAAATTCAGGAACATCCTATAGTTCAAATTTAAGAATTTTACACATTCCATTGCTATATTTAATTGCATTGTTTTTTAAAGTTTTGCTCAGTTCCAGATGCTATTTAATTTTGAATGCTGTAAGAGATCACTTATTCTATATATATATTTTTGTTTAATGTCCTGAAGCTGTACCAGAATACTAGTGTATTCTCAATACTGCTACATGAGAGACATGTAAAATCTTTTCTTCTTTTGTTTAAAGTTTATTAAAGAGCCTAATCTTTCATTAACATAACAGCTCTTAAAGCTTGATTTAACTCCTATTTACTGCAGCGGTGCAGAATCTGGCTTAGAACTGTGAGGAAAGTAAAATGCACCTACTGCATACGCTATCTTTGTTGCAGGTTGTACATAATTCCTGTTCATTGTAACAATAAGATTGTAACAACGCTGAAGTGATAATGCAACCCAGCATGTGACAAGCAGTGGTAAAACATAATATACTTGTTAGGTGTACAAAAGAGGCCTGCTATTAGGTACTTCACTATTTCCCCTTTAATTCAAGTCATAATTATGCTTCCCTATCTGGAGCAGCTGCATTAAGAATGGGAAGAAGAGATTCCTTGTTCCTGTTCCCAGACTGTACTGTCAGCTTGCTTCTTTCATGGAGCAGAAGAGAAAGAAGTAGTTGTATATGACCACTCATTTTTCACCTGTCCAGTAGGTGAGAGGCTGGCAGTCTATAGCCTATGGGCTGGATCCGGCCCATGGAGCCATTAGACTTGGCCTGCAGAGCTGGAGCTTTAGGAGTGGTTTGTAGAGGGGGTGTTGCCCATGTTGCAACCAGGTGGCAGGGTATTCACCTGTGCTGTGTTCCGCATAGATGTGCCAGCATGGGGAAGCAGTGGCAATGGCTAGGTCCAGTGCTGGCTGGCTTTGGATGTGAACTGGGCTATTCTGACCTGCTGCCAAAAAACATGGCTGGCTGCTAGACTGTCAAAAGGAAATAGTAACCTTTAACTTCACAGTGTGCTTTGCTAAGCTTTATAGCAAGACTTAAGCTGAAGGGTAAAACTCCACTGAAACCTATTTTCATTACTGTCCAGTGAGTTTGTTAGTGTGTAAAACTTGCTCCATTTCTGGCAGGTCATTTTCGTTACCTCCAACTGATTAAGCTACAGGATGTTGCAGTAACAACAATGAATAGCAGGGCTGAAAATAAAGTTGCTTGTGACTGGCAGGAAATACTTATCAAAGTGGGGGTGGGGCATGTGTCTGACCCTTTAAGATTTCTTAGGGCTCCAGCCAGCACTGAAGTGCTGATACACCTGAGGTAATAAACAAGGAAGCTGCCTGGGAAAGTAGGACAGAAAAGTGGGAGATTTTGTGTTTACAGGTTAGCACAAAGACAGACTAATGTGGATACATCTTAACAGTATTTGTAATTATGCAAGGCGGTGACTTTTGCAAGAAAATTCCATAGTTATTTTCTTAATTCTGTGTGTGTGTGTGTGTGTGTGTAAATATAAAAATAGACTTTTTACTGTCATTCTTTTAATAGGTTAGCATGGAAAACTTTCCTATTTTATCAAGAACAGGAACTTTTGGATTTACTGCCACAGCATTTCACCAAATCCAGCAATAGGTGCAGGGACAGGAGATTTTGCATGACCTGGATTCACTTGCTTGTCAGAACTTTTAAGTCTATGATGAGGCAGCAGTGCAAAAAAATAAAAACGCTCTCCCATTTTCTTGGGATCGGTAAGCATCTGGTAGCCACGAATCAACTGCTCACGAACTGTCACATCGTGTGAATTCTGCAACAGTACCTGGAAGGAAAACAATTAATGTTTGCTATATGGTAACTACTTGTCTTCTCTCTCTCACTTTAGATGAACTGTCCACATCCTCCTTCCATTTACTGTGTAGGATAATATAAGTGTAGAAAGGTGAGAACCATGCTGTTGAGTGGAGGATCAACTGTTGGCATAAAATTACTTTTAAAATACAGACCATGGATGGTAGAGCCATTTCAAATATAAGTTAATGGATAATTATTTAAGGAATTGGAAATGGTTTTGATTTGCCCGGAAATACCAATAGCCTTGGCCTATTTAAAACGAGAGGTTTTTAAATAAAAAAAAATCTGGTACCAGAAGTGGCACCTATGGATCAGCAGAAGTGTCTATGTGCAGGTACAGAACCATACCTGTAGCCGGACATCAATGCCCATATTTTTTAAGAATTCTTGTTGTGCTATAGGCCCCAGGGTGGCTACTCTTCCCTGAGTCATCCTTTGGAGGTAGCTGAAGTCAACATCTGCTGTCAAGTCTGCAGTACCAGGTGCTATCAAAACATCATGAAGCTTATGATTGCGGAAACCCTGAAAAAATAACAGAAAGACCTCCTCAACCACTACCCTCTCTGTCACCAAAACGTGACAGAAGACCAAGAATAAACTACTGGGAAAAGATGCACGTGGGGCAAAAAGTAATTTTAAAATTAAATTACTGGTGGAAAGGATCCATCTCCTTCATCCCTCCCCTGCCACCAGAAGCCCCTATTTCTCTATACTCTTCAAATAAGCAGTTCTTTGCCCAAATGTAATCTAGACTGCAGTAGTTTGTTAATGGTATTAACAGTAATGCCATTACGGTGTCTCTCACCTGGATACACTTTTTTCAGAATGTTGGCCTGTGCTACTAATGACAGCAATTTTCTATAGTATGATCCAGAAAAGAGCAAGGTAACTACCAAATTTACCCTGAAAGTGTCAGTCTTGGTTCCGTCATGACCATAATCAGCAATCAATGCAGCTCCTCCATCCTTTTCAATGCGGCAAGCAAATTTCTGAATGAGGACACCAGCATCAGGACATACTTCCACATGGTCCCTTGGTTCTTCATCCTAATGCAGGATCAAGGGTTAAACTACAGAAATTGACAAGCATGCTAAGTAACTGGAGAAATGAGAGTTTTTCACTCTTACTTCCTCCCTTGTAATTTGCTTTGTCTTACTAGGGTTGTACATCATACTGCAGGCCAGTGGCTCTCAACCTCTTGAAAATGTGAACTTTTTAGTTTTCAGTAGCTTGTTTTACTATAGGAAAATAAAGCAATTCCTCTGTTGCAAAGAACTCTGATCACAGCAGGTCAGGAGTTTTCTAGCAATCTCTGGGTTTATCTTGTGACTTATACTTGCACACCTAACATGGCTCATCATCAGCAATCCCTCAATTCAAGGATGATCTCTACCAGGGGTCTTGAGATGACTTTATAAAGAGTCTAATCCTGAGCCACAGATCTGTAGTTGCAGGGAAAAGTAGGCTGTAGGCTAGGATTTGTTTCCTTTTCCTTCCTCCATTCTCTCTCTTACAGGACTAATGCTGTGAGGCACCCCATTCCTACAGTACCCTGTTTGAGAATCAGGGCTCTAGGCTGTCTTCATAGATACTTAAGTTGGTTTTGGCTAAGGCTTTTTCAGATAGCATGTCACACAATTCTCTCATTAAAATGTTAAAAGAGGACAAGCTCATGCACCGCTCCCCAGTGGGGCATGAAGAGAATTGTCTTTCTAATCAGAAGGCAGACCACTTCCATCAGGTTCAACTGTCATGACATTACCATAACACTATCACCAAAGGCTTCATTCAGTATTCAGTTAAACTGCTATTTAAAACTAGACAATGATTTAGGAAAGAAAAGTGGCATTCATCTGGAAAAGTGTTGCATTGAGCTCATCTGCTCTAACTTGGAATACTGAAATGTGTAAGGACTTGGCTCTCTTCCAAACATCAAAATTGTAATTGTTTGTTGTTTCTAATATACCCAGATAACATTGTTCCAGAAACTACAAGCCTCACACAGCATATATGGTGATAAATCACTCACCTGATGATGTAGTACGAAACCAAACATACCCTACTGAATAAATTGCGATTGGGGGGAGAAATGGATGGATTAAAAAATAGTAACTGGAAGAGGAAATAACTAGATGCTTGACAGTAGCTCGAATCTTACCTGTATAAAATATTTGGCAGCTGGGGTGACAGCTGGTGCCAGAACAAACCGCAGCTTATCTGGAACTTCTGGATCTATATCAATCAACACTTCACGCCAGCCCTTTTCTGTTCTCTGATAAATAAAAGCTATTTTACATTCCAAACTGTAACTTATGAAGACTCATTAGCCTGTTTATCCAATTTGATCTAAATGGCTTACCAAACCACAGAGACTTGTATATATTTTTGAATATTTTAGGAAAAACAGTACTAAGCCCATGCCTAGAAAAGACCACCCCATTTACCAAACTTAACTAATTCATTCAGGCAACTAAATGAGACTTAGCGAAGGCTTGGGGGAATTGGTCTAGTGGAATCAACTGCTAAGATAGATCAATGTAGGCAGTAAGTTTGAATAAAGAAGACTTTATGGAAAAAAAGTCTGCCTTCAGCTCCCTCCTCTGTAAATGTAGGGCTCTAACAAGTCACCTAGCTGCACTTTTTTTTACCATAATTTAAATAACGCAGTATTTTTCTCATGTACAATACTCCCCTTTTGCCTCAAAATTGGGATGTATGTATTAAGTGGGGAAGGTGGCTTTCTGGCTGGGCAAGAAACACCCTGCCTAGATTCCAACTCCACAGCGTAGCAGCTCTGGCATTATTATTCAGGCTGCTGAGGGAGTCAGTTAACTTAATGGCTCCTTGTTCTTCACTCCAGAAGTATTAATAATTGTCCCTCCTGTTTAATGGTCTTGATGTTCCACTAATCAAGCTAACATTTCTTCTGGGAAGTTGGCTGTCCGCTCCTATTTCACAGCCTTGGAGACTCTTTATTTCTTTTCAAAACCATAGATCCACATATGGAAATAAGTTTCAACTAAAGTTGAGGACTTAGCTACTGCTTAAGCTGGAAAGGGAGGGGGAGTCAACTGAAGACTAGGCTCTGTCCTTGCTCTACGCAGCCATAACTGGAAAAATCTTTTCTTCTTCATTCTGCCTTTCAAAAACAAGGCAAGTATTGTATGTGGTGTGTAGTACGCAAAATTTGTGTATAACCAATCTTCGGGCTTTAAAGTTATAGGAATAGTTTGTTTCAACATTCAGAAGAGATTTAAATTTATTCTGAGGTTGGAGACCATTACTTCAACTGTTACAGTCATGAATACAAATGAAGGCTCTTTAAAACTGCTCATTTTCTGTTTCATACTGTACCAATCGCATTATTGGTATGTAATACTCAGTGAAATAAAAATATTTATTTCTCTTATCTTTTATTAGTGCAATATAAATCACAACATGAGACTTATTTGTGCAGAACTGAAAGCCTATTAAGTTCTGCTGATGAAGAAAGTGTTTTCCATTAATGAACCATTCTGCTATACAGCTAATATTTTATTGCTCTTAATTTTACAGCAGTTAAATTGAGAACACTAAGTCATACAAAATCCTTTACAGCAGTGTTGTCAAACTCATTCCCTTCTCACTCACCCTTGCAGAGCCAGATCTGGACCACAGGCTCCATCTTTCACCCCAGGATGCACGGTTCCTAGAGGGGCTGTGAATTTGAGTAGGGACAGGGTGTTGTCCTGTTGGGAATGAGTTTCTATAACAGCAGGGTGAGTGGTAATAGCATAGGCTAGGGCTATGCAAAACAGCACCGTTTCGAAGGGATAGTGTTTTGTTTTGTCGTTTTGAAGCACTGTTTCATTTTGTTTTGTCAAAACTGTTACGCCCATAGGCTATAATGGGTCATGAACATGCCTAAAGCTTTGTCATTGCTTGCCTAATTCGGATGAAAATTGCGGGGATGGTAGCCCCTTCAGAGGGCATGAAGCCTGCCAAGTTTCAAGGGGACAGGTGCAGAAGTTTCTGGGAAACTGCAGCTCAAACTGTTCAAAGCAAAATTTGTGACACTTGCCAGCAGTGGCAGCCTCCTGTCATCCCCGTGTGCAGATCTGGGGTCCTGCACAGAGGTGACACATAGGGGGTGCACAGGGGTGCATGTCCACTGCCTGTCAGGCCGCACTCCCCACTTAGCTGGTGGGCAGACAGAAGCACCAGTGTTCCCCCCCTGCGAGCGCCAGCTGGGGAGGGGCTGCCAGCAAAAGTGGCTGCGAGAGTTCCGGGAGTGAGACTGGCTGTGGGGGACCCCACCCCGGTCACTGACTGGTGACTCAAGAGGCACCAGACACCCATGGTCCTGCACACTCAGGAGGGCTGTGGAGCTGTGCTGGACTCCGTGCAGGGGTGTAGGCCCCTGGATCTGCACGCAGGATGAGAGGCTACCCCACTGCCGCCTGGGACTGGTGCTGGGTGCAGCCCATGCCAAGTGCCAGGAAGACTGCTGCTGCCTCCAGCCGGGAACAGCAGCATGCTGCCATCCTGTGTGCAGATCTTGGGGCTCACACCTCTGGGAGGGCTGCAGGGCTGTGCCAGACTCCTCCTGGGGGGCGTGGCCCCCGGATCTGCACACAGAATGACAGGAGGCTTATGCTGCCAGCTGGGACCAGCACTGAAGCCAAGAAAGCCTGGCTTCGAAATGTTTCAAGTGTCCTTGTTTTGTTTCGAAGCCTTTTGTTTCATTTTGATTTTGCTGTTTTGAGCTCGAAACCTGTTGAAACAGCTTCAAAATGAAACACCCAATGAAATTTTGTACAGCCCTGTAATGCAGCCATTGCTTATACCCCTCTGGCTCCATATACTTGTTTTCAGCAGTGGGCGATGCCCCTACATTTCCAGCCTATCCAGGAGCTCTGTGGGCCATAACTTTGACACCTCTGCATTAGAGAAATGTATTTTAAAATTTAAATGATATGGTTAAAGACAAGCCCCAATCTAGCACTGTAGTGATTTTTATTCTTCTATAGTCTAAGCATCCTTTAAAAATAGAAAAGTCCCACTCTCAATGGGCTTCTAGCTGTACCTGGAATTTATGTATTGGTAGAGCATCAAAAAATTCATGTGCTAAATAAAAGCTGTTACCTGTAAAAGGAAATGAAAAAAGATTACTTCATATTTCAACATAAAACTTCCACAGCATGTTCCATTTGGAAATCAAGAAGCACTCTAACAATGAAGGCAGACAGTGTCCCTGAGAAATAGCCGATTACCATTATTCCCTAACAGAAGCCCAGGTTGCGAGAACCACATTTTCACAACTGGTCCCTAATTTCAGATGCTTATATTTTTGGACTCCCAACCCAGGACTGTATGAGCTTGATTGTCTGCTCTATCGTAAACCCACAAGCGCAACTGAAGGCAATGGGACCTGCACAGGCTCACAAAATGTCTCACGCTGGGTATCCCAAGCCTGGGGAAACCTGAAGCAGTGGCTATTTCCGAGACTATGCCCCCCCTCCTGCCCAAACTCATAAGTAGTAATCATTTTATGCAAAATTATGTTTCCACCTATAACCACTCTACCAAGAAGCTCTCTGGTTTAAAAAAAGATCATGAATTAGAGAAGGAAGCAATCATTACCAGAACATTCAAACCACCTACCTTGTGGCACATCTTGAAGGGTTCTGTACCAGAAAATTGGAATTCCAGTCTTACTAGTACCTTTCATGTAGAAAGGGGAAGTATCATCAGATTCTGGTTGTATATTCTCCCCTGTCAGGGTCAGTGCTTGGATCTCACTTAATTTGGGGCTCACTTCGACCAGATGAATAGAAATGTTACATTTATTGAGTAAAGAGCCAAGCTGGTGAAAGACCTGTAAATACAAAAAGGATGAATTTGGTGAGCAGTTACATGCTGCAGGCCTTTATATGCTGCCCCCCCACTCCCCCGGCCATGTTGGTATCCCTCACTCCTGACCCCCAGCCCCCAGCCCTGCCACTGGACCTCACTCCCAACCCACAGCCCCCTCCCCCACCCTCCTGCCTCCCAGCCCTGCTGGAGGGGTCCCCAGCTGCTCTGTCCCACTTGGGCTGAAGCGCAGTGGCTCCAGCTCATGGTTGGCAGCAGAGTGAGAGTTGCCCTGACACAGGCTGGAGGGAGGAGGAGGGGAGGCCTGTGGTAGCCCCTGCCCTGGGCTAGGGCTGCTGTGTTGTGCCAGGCAGCCTGGTCACAGCCCCTTCCACCCCCTGAGCAGCGTCTCCCAGCCACTCTGCCCCTGTGAGCACCCAGCCCAGCCTTGCAGCTCTCCCCTGCCCCCTTCCCACACTGGAAGGGGCAGACAACTTCCTGCCACCACTCTGCCCTGCTGCAGTCTTGGTGCTTTCCCAGAATCAGCGTTTCTCAACCTGTGGCTTGCAACTCTCTGAACTCTTGCAACCCACTTTTGGATTGTGACCCATGGGCTGAAAAGCACTACTCTAAGGAAATTTCATGTCCTCTTTCCTCTGGCTTATGACAAAATATGAGATCAGTGTGATTAGATAGGAAAATAAAAGAAATCAAGGTCCAACATATGAGTAAGGACATGAAAGCCAGGATATGGTAGTCCAGGAAATGTATGAGGGGCAAGAGATTTTTTGTAACATTTAGGAGTGATATCGTTTATAATATTACAAAAGGGTTGTTGTGACCTGAGTAAGGACACTTTATGCCCAGAAGTTGGTCTAATATCTGTCCCAAGTTGGTCCAATAAAAGATATCACAAAAAACCTTTGCCTCTCATAGAACTACCATGCTCATTTACAGTAATTAAATATTGCTCCTCTTTAAGTCAGTAGGAACCCTGGCACAGAGTGCAACAAGTGCAAAAGGATGGCCTATGACTCTACAGAGGTCTTTAAATTAGATCAGTGGTTTTCAACCCGTGTTTGGCAGAACCTTGGGCTTCTACAACAGGTCTTCAGAGGTTCTGCAAAGAGACTGGGGGGTAATAGCGAAGCAGGCCAGGAGATGGTACACTGCCATTACTGGGTTGGATTGCCTGGCTCTATGTCAGCTCAGATGGTCCAGACCCATGGGCTGGGGTTCCACAGCAAAAGTGATATAAAAGGGTTTTTTGATTTTTGGAGGTTTGAAAACCACTGAACTAGAGGACAGAAATGCAGTGCCATATATCTTAGAGACAAAAATGGCAATGAAACTGAATGCTAGCTATTAAAGAATGACAAAAGAACCCTGGCATAAAGGGAGCAGTTCCACTGAGCTCTACAATAACATAGCTTTCAGAGTTCAATGGCTCACCTGCAATACCCAAGTTTTTCAAAACAGAGTTCATAGGAGCCATCTACAATCACATACTTACAATCGTTATTACATTTGACTTGTTTATGAATGAAAAAGTAGCAGCTGTAATATTTTCACTGGATTCCTGTATTCTATTGAGGACTAATTAAATTTTACCAACCAAACCGCATGTATAAGTGAATAAATGAGAAATGGCAGAAGATCAGAAAGTCTTGCAATGAAAGGAGATGAGCCTCCAAAATTCCCTGTGGAGTCAAGGGAATTCACAATGCTCAGTATTTGGAACATTGCCTGGTTTTGGCAGGCTCAAATGTGAGCCATAAATTACATATCACCAACATCCCATCATCTACTTGCTTCCTTAGATAGTGCTTTTCTATAGGTTATTTTACAGAGATAATTTCACCCTCTCTCTCTGTGAAGATGTATTTAGAATAGAAGTGGATCTGCAAAATAGGCTTGGGGCATTCAGTATTTTCTTTTCATTATGAGCCCCAACTCCACCAAAATAACAGAAGTACACCGAGAAATTATAGGTAAAATTCAAGTTGTACTTTAGTAATCAAAATGGATTCAGTTGCTATGAAAACTTCACCAGATGCAATGGCATTTCATTCCTGATTTCAGGGTTCAACGCATTATGAGAACTCTTGAGATAGGCAAGTCAAGCCTAAAGAATGCATTATTTATACCTACCCGTAAAATATCACCTGTAAGAGTGCCTCTACCTGGGCCCAGTTCCACAAGTTGAAAAGTTTTAGGTTTGCCAGTGGCCATCCATTCACTAACATACCATATCCCTATTAACTGAAAAGAAAAACACAAGGAATACTTTTACTGTAAGACTTGATGATGTTCAGGGGTAGAGATACATACTTGCATTTCAACCTGTAAAATCAGTTTGTCTTAATATATTCTCTGAGAATTAATAGTCTTCTAGTCTTAAAGCATTACTCTGCTCAGAAACCTGGCTGTGGAAATTTTACTCAGCCCACATGCTTTGTCTAAAGCACTGGTTCTCAACCTTTTTAGGACTTGAGGCACCTCTTGAAAAATGGCAGTTCTTAGTTTTCACTCTTTTTTGAGTAAAGAAAAATAATAGAGCAGTTTTTCTGTGGCAAAGAGCTCTAGAAGACCCCAGCTATGGATTTCTATTTGAAATCTCTGGGGTCATCTTGTGAACCATGTCTGCAAACCTATCAATGCATTGTGTGGCACCCTGCGGCATCCTGGTTGAGAATCACTGGTCTAAGGATTCTGGACTTGTATTTGTCACCTACTGACAGCCCTGAAGAACCAATGTATCCCCGAAAGTGAGTTGTGTTCTTTTCTTGACTAGTGCCTGAAAAGAATAGTTAACTATGTATCAAACGGGGGTTGCAAGCTCAGTTACACCTGAGCAGCCATCTCTGCTAACAATACATTTGCCCAAGTGTCCCAGAAAGACCAATTTAACCTGCACACAAGTTTTATTACTAGTGATGATCTATAACGAGAGAACCCAGACTTGGCCTTCAGATCCCAGGCTGAATTTTTCAAGTCTCTGGAAGTTCTGATAGATTTTACTTGTACGAGGAACAACTCTTACATTAAGAGGATCAATGTACACTATGTGGAACAAAAAAAAGAGCTGTGCTCTGTGTGTCTTTTACAACCTCCCTTTTTCCGCCTAGAACTCTAAAGCAGTGGGAGCCAACCGTTCCGGCCGGCATGCCACAAATTCGCTCTGCATTTTCCCCAAGTGCTGCTCCACTGCTTTCCCTTACTCCATCTGCTGGTTAGCTTTCTGATCCCTGCCCAAGCTGCTGCTCTGCTTTCGACTCCCTGCTCTATCTGCCTCTGTGCTGCCTGTCCCCTCCCCACTCTACAGTGTGCCACCCAAACAGGCTGCCCAGCAGTGCTGCATGTTGGCCACCCCTGTTCTAACGTGTGTTTTTTTTTGTTCAGAATAGTTCTGTTACTGACATCAGTAACACATTTAACTACAGGTTCTCAAAATGTATTCGAAGCACTATTTTCTTTTACCTCCCCAAAGATCTGGCTTATTTCAGGTGAAGTCACAAAGTCCCCCTTTTCTCCAAGCATGTCATGATGCATGTAGTAACCCTAGGGAAAGAAAAGGGAGAAGTGACCATAAAATGTTATTGTCTGAGTGCTGAAGTGCAGCTCTTACTATGCAACCCAACTTTAAAAACAAAATAATTTTCCAGAGTGCTAAAAGAATAAAGTAGTTTGAATGCTGAAGAAACCAAAGCAAATCCAAAATACTCTACAATTCAACTCCTAAGGGAAACCGAGGCTGTACAAGCAAATTTTATACCAAGGAAAAGTTAAAAAAAAGAATTTGATTTCTTAAGGAAAAATATCAAATGTTAAAAGTCAAACATTTAAAATAAAAGATTTTTGTCAGTGAACCAATCTGTGTAACTACTGCCCATGTCCAGTCCACTGAAATCTGAGACTAACTGCGCCTTATGAAATTCAGACGGCTAATCAGCAGAACTTTAAAATACGAAGATGTCATGTCCATTGGAGAGGCCAGTCCACTCTGTGCAGTGTTCTGAATTGGTTTATAAACGCCATGGCCATCTAGAGGAGAAGTCATTCTTCAAATACTGGCAAGCCACAGAATGGAGTGCTGCCTCGATAACTGGAATGAACAAGGCAGAGGATGAGATGGTGGTTAGTTAGCTAGCTGGAAACGCATCATGTGAGATATTTAATAAGTAGGCTGTAAACCACAGGCAACCTAAACCTCAGGTACTTTTTTTTAGATACAATGATGCTGATGACAGTGCAGCCTATGTGAAAACCACTTGTCAAATTTTACACAGGAAACAGTTTGAATGTCAGAAAAAAAAAATCGCCTTAACAAAACACTATTCCTCTCTCAGGCTTCCTCAGAGAGAATTAGAGTTCTGTCCACATCTGCCAATCAATCATGAGTCTATTTCTAGGGTGCTGTTTCCCCAAGGGAAATGGTGCTAATTTTATCTCATGCCGTCACATTCTTTCTTAAAAGAAAAAAGTGGACAATGGCACTAGGTAGGAAGACTGCATAATGGAATGAAATGGCTGGAATGATCTAGTTGGGGATGGTCCCGGTTAGAGCAGGGGGTTGAACTAGATGACCACCTGAGGTCCTTTCCAAACCTCATTTGTTATGATTCAATGTGAGATGCGGTGTGTGGATGTGGGGGTGGGGTGGGGGCAGGGGTTGTGTTTTCACCAGTTGCAACATTACCAATCTGGCCACTTTCCTGGCAAGATGCCCAAAGTTATGCAGCCATAGTGCAAACCACTCCCCCCCCCCACAAGCCCTGGCCTGCCCATCCCATTAGAGGAAGGTATCTTGGGGCGAGACTGGACAACTTCTCATGATCGGGGGTAACTGACCCACATGAGTGTCATGAAGAACCAGCCAGGCCAGCAACTGTTCAGTGCTTGCTGGGGGGGAGGGGAAGGATGGCACATGGGGTTGGGCTGTGGGTGCAATCTGGCATATGGGGCCCCACATGGGTTCAGACATTTGGTGGCAGGGGAACAGTGGAAGTGTCAATTGCTGCCACTGCGGGGAGTCCTATAGGCCAGATGATGTGGCCCTGTTCACTGGACTTGAGCCCTCTGGTTTGGCACTCTGGTAAGAAAGCAGAGGAGATTTAGACCTCACAGACTAACCAAAGACATACATATACATACACACACATGCACATATATACATACATATAATCTGAGAGAGGCAGACATGCATGCATATACACAAACGCATGCATACATATCATCATCATCAGCAAGCCCCTGCATTGAGGAAGGCCTTTGCCATGGCTTGTTGATGGGTCTTGAGGTGACTTAAGAGTTTCACCCTTGAGCCACAGGCCTGTCCACAGAAGTTGCAGGTCTTTCTGCAGGCCCCTACTTCTCTTCTTTTCCTTCTTCTGCTGTTTCTTCTCTGCTTTGAGGCCAAGAGATACATCTGAACATACACACACCCACATGCACACACAGACATACGGACACCCAGAGACATGCATGCACACACACACACACACACACACATGCACGCGCGCACACAGGCAGTTTTTGTGAGCTGAAGTTCTCTTCATCTGACGCCAGCTCGCAGAAGCCTCTGCTCTCTGTGCGTGTGTGACGTATCTTTCTCCTTGGGTCAGTCGATAAGGTGCAAATCCCCCCTGCCCTCTTACCTAGGCGTGCACACGTAACACGCACACGCACGTGGACACACACACACACACCTGCGCGGGGTGGGTGAGCGCCTCCCGCATGTACTCGGCCACCGAGAGGGGCCCCGCGGTGCGGATACGGAGCGCCAGGCGCTGCAGCAAACCCGGCTGCGGCCCCGATCCGCCCGCGCGCTGCCCAGCCACGCGCCGCAGGACCCCGAGCAGGCGGCGCCCCGCACCCACCGCCAGGCTCATGGCTGCCGCTCGCTCCGCCTCTGCACGCGGGGTCCTGGCCGCCCCGTAACCCCTCGCTCTCCCAAGCGCGGCCCGGCCGAGCCCCAGCCCCAGCCCGCCGCCCAGCCTAGACGACCCCTTTGCACTCAGCCCGCCTCCCCGCAGGCGCGACTCGGGCTGCTCCCTCCTCCTCGCCCGGCCCCACTTCGCTCTCTACGAACCTGGCAGGACCGGAGGGCGGAAGCAGGCGCGGCGCATGCGCAGGGGGCGGCATGGCGGCGGCGCGGAGCGCGAGGGAGCCGGGCGGGAGCGAGGATGAGCTGGCACACGACAGCGATGGTGACGCCGACGGCTTCTCGCTGCGCGAGGTGCTGCGCCTGGGTGGGACCAAGGTGAGGCTCGCGGGGGGCCGCGTTCCACCACGTGGCCTTCGACCCCCCCCTCCCCTCCCCTCCCCTCCCCTCCGCGGTCCGCGCTCCCGGGGGCTGCAGTGGCCTGGGGGGAGGGGCACGGCCCAGTCCTGGCCTCTGCACGGAGTTGGGGGCTGGGGCACGGGGCAGGGGGAGGCTGGTGGTATCGATGACCCCCTCGGGTGTAGGGAGCCCTGCGGGGGCCCCGGGCCAGAGGATGTGCGCCCCTGCGCTAGCCCGGCAGGGACTTTCCAGCAGTTGCTCTGGTTTTTTGCTTTGTCTGGCCCCCCAGCGTGCTCCTAACCCTGCTGGGCTTGGCGTGTCCTGTTGAACACGATGATTCATAGCTGTTAGGGGCTGCAAGGGACCTTACAGATCATCGGGTTCAGCCCCCTTGCACGTGGGCGGGAAAGACTGCTGTGACCCCAGCAAGATGGGCGTCGAGACTGTTTCTGAAGAGGACCAGGGTGGGTGACTGCACCACCTCTGGGGAAGCTTGTCCCAGACCCATGGCATCCGCACTGCTCTTCTCAGATCCCAGAGCTGCCCGCGGTGCCACGCGTCTGGTAGGACTGAGAACTGCTGCCCTAGAAACGCCGCTGTGATGGCCCTTCCTCGCTGTGTAACAATTCTGTCCACCCCTGACCCACCCAGGGCCCCTGATGTGTTTCACTGCTGCTTGCTTCTTCCTTTGTAGCATTTACAATGAGTGTTTTGATTTCTGTATCCATGTCTGCTCTGTCTCTTGTACTGCCACTCAGTTTCGAGCCGTGGTTCTCAACTTTCCTAGGCTTTGGGTGCCCCTGCTAGATTCAGGGCTGCCCTTTGAAAATGCCAGCCCTTGGTTTTTGCTCATTTCTCGACTAGAGAAAAATAATAGAGCAGTTCTCCACTTACAAAAGACCTCAACAGCGCAGAATGGTTTTCTTGCTGTAGATTCCAGTTTGAAATCTTTGGGTTTATCCTGTGAATCATGTTTGCATACCTCACAGCACTAAAATTGCATGGCATCCTGTGGCACCCTTGAAAAGATCTCAAGGCATCCCAGGGTGCCGTGGTTCCTTGGTTGAGAATCGCTGATTTAGATCTTGTGTAAAAATAATTTTTAATGTGTTTGTGTTGCACACAGCAAGATTATGTCATGCTTGCTGCTTTGGATGAGACGGAAGAGCTTGTGGACGGTGGGAAGAAAGGAGCAATTGATGACCTGGAGCAAGGTGAATTAGAAGCATTCATTAATTCACTAGGTGTGTCCAAGTACTCAAACAATTTCCTTGTGGTGGAGGAGGAAGAAGGAGGAAAAGAGAAACAGGCAAAGAAGGAGAAAGTCAGCAAAAAGGAAAGTGGTGCCTCTTCACTAGAAGGAAAGAAAGCAAATCAAGTCAGAGAAAAGAAAGGAAAAGAGCAGATCAGTGTCAGCAAAGATGGTCAGAAAAAGTCAGCTCCTTGTAGTGAAGATCCAGTAGCAAAGAAAGAGAAGCAGGAAGACGTCTTTGAATTTCATGCTAGGCAAGTCTTGCTGATGAAACCTGGGGGAAAGTGGCATGATCTAGAGTATACCAAGGAATTCTCTTCTGAGCAACAAAATCAGGCTCTTGTGTCAAGTTATAAAACTTTAGCCCAAAAGCTGTATCAGCATGAGGCAGAGATGTACAAGAACAAAACAAATCTTCAGAAGGGATCCTCTTCAGCTTGGATGAAAACTGTTGTGTCATCTGGGACGCTAGCTGACAGGATGGCAGCCATGACCCTTCTTATCCAGGACAGTGCTGTCCACTCTCTCCAATTTGTTGAGACCTTGGTGAACCTTATCAAAAAGAAGGGCAGCAGGCGCCAGAGCCTAATGGCTTTGGATACTTGCAAGGAACTCCTTGTTTCAGATCTTCTACCAGACAATCGTAAGCTATGCACTTTCTCTCAACATCCTTTCCACAAACTAGAGAAGCTATGCAGTGGCAACAGAGACTCGAGGGACAGGCGACTGATACTGTGGTACTTTGAGCATCATCTGAAGCAGTTGGTAGCAGAGTTTGTGCAGACATTAGAATCTCTGAGCCACGATGCTCTGGTGGCAACAAAGGCCCGAGCGCTTGCAGTGGCTTATGAACTTCTCTGTAATAAGCCAGAGGAGGAGAAAGCTCTTCTTGTGCAGCTGGTAAATAAACTGGGAGATCCTCAAAACAAAATCGCCACCAAAGCCTCTTATCTGCTGGAGACCTTACTTCATAAACACCCAAACATGAAAGGAGTAGTGTGTAATGAAGTGGAACGGCTTCTGTACCGATCAAACATTAGTGTGAAAGCCCAATATTATGCAATTTGTTTTTTAAATCAGGTTGTCCTCAGCCATGAGGAGAGCGAGCTGGCTAATAAGCTGATAACCCTGTATTTCTGCTTTTTTCGGACTTGTATCAAGAAAAAGGACGTTGAATCTAAAATGCTTAGTGCTCTTCTGACTGGCGTGAACAGAGCTTACCCGTATGCTCAGACTGGTGATGACAAAGTGAAAGAGCAAATGGACACTTTGTTTAAAGTACTACATCTTGTGAACTTCAGCACTAGTGTCCAGGCCTTAATGTTGCTTTTCCAAGTAATGGACTCTCATCAGACAGTGTCGGACAGATACTATGCAGCACTGTACAAGTAAGTGATTAACTTTTATTGCCTGTTCAACACTTCATTTTGCAAAACGGAAATTGTTATCTAAAAATTTTGTTGCAGAAACATGTGTATATAATTTGCCTTTAACTTCTTTTCCAGTCTTTCATATCTACCTGTCCATTTGTCACATTGCTTCTTGGTGTTTCTTTATATGCTGGAAGAAAATGTCCATTAGTCTTGCAATGCAAAGAATAAAGGAGTTGCATTTGTTGTAGCTGCACAGGTCATGAAAACAGAACATATAAACTCTGTGTATACAGAACATATATAACCCTGCCGTTTCTGATTTCCAGTTGCATATTTTAGTCTCATGCTTAAGTCTGAAACTACTGAATAGTTCCCTCTTCTGTAACTCCTCTTTCAGCTGTCTGATTTTTGTTTTATCAATGCATTTGCCTAGAAAACTCCATATTATTGCGCTTTGTGCGTCAGGAGGGTGGGTAGAGAGGAGGGGTCCCCTGTGTATATGAAGCATTGAAAATCCAGAGATGAGACTGTTAGAGGTCCTGTGTTACAGAGCCATCCTTTTCTAGACCTCTTGGAAGCATCTTTGCAATCCTTACATGCTACTGCTTTACTCACTGAAGAGAAGCCCTAATTTAACATGGGGCACTAATTTCCTCCTCATTTTTTGTGGGTTACTCGGTGGTTTTCAGGATTTGGGAACCTGAAGTGTAAGGGGATGGGACTCTACATGTGTCTGGTCTGACTGTATGGTGATGCTATGAGCTACTGCTTTTCTTTCCCCTTTTTAAAACTGTTGTTTCCATTCATTGAGAGTTAGAGTAGCTTACATGGAGCGAGTCTGTTCTGATATTTGAAAACCAAATTAAATTATTTTTTTCTGGGGGTGGCGGCGACTGCCTTATCTTCTTTTGCATGGGCCACTTTCTCTATTGAGACTGTCACCTAACAGTTCAAAAAGGTTTTTTGACGTTAAATATTACGTGTAAATGTACTTATAGTAGAATTCAATAGCTAGTCAGCATTTACTGTCATATTTTATACTCTTTAGGAAAAATATTAACTGAGGTATTTTAGATCCCACTGTGTAATGTAGGTTACCCAGTAGGTTATTGCTGACATGAATAGTAATGTATTTATCTTATGGAGAACTAGAAGGAAGAGTTACTAATAATCATGATCTGTTTTCTGCAGGAAGCTGCTTGATCCAGGGCTAGCACTGTGTTCAAAGCAGTCCATGTTTCTTAACCTTGTGTACAAATCTCTGAAGGCAGATGTAGTGCTGCGGCGGGTGAAAGCCTTTGTGAAGAGGTTGCTCCAAGTCACATGTGGACAAATGCCTCCGTTCATTTGTGGAGCCCTGTACCTTGTGTCTGAGCTTCTTAAAATAAAACCAGGGCTACGAGTCCAGTTACAGGATCATGTGGTATAACATTACTTTTAAAAACATTTATTTTATGTGTTGGTCTTCTATCTACTGTCTTTAGTGTCACTGAAACTTGTTACCTTTCCCATCTCTTCCCTTTTACAAGTGATTCCTATCCCTGGAAACGCTGACTTCCTTAAACATGTGCCTGAATGAGGTGATTGGTGATTTGACTTTTGCCCTGGCACAAGGTTAGGTTACATGATCTGTTATATCACAAGGATGTGTACTGCCCCTTAGTAACTGCCTGGATAAGAGCATGTCACACATGGGTAGATGAAAAAGAAGTATGCTACCATGGTTTCATTTTTGTCTACTATAGGGTAAAGTTACTGTGGAGCAGCTGATGTATGCTAAATTACTACTATTTTCTTTTGCCAGGCAATTAGTTCAGGGGCATGCACCAAGCAGTTATATGTATGGTGAAAAGCAGCATAACACAGGATAATTGTTTTCAGTTGATACTCCACTGGTCCATTTGTGACCAAGGGCCATTTTGTTTCTAGATGCTGTACAGATGCATAATAAAATACAGTCCTTGCCCCAACCATACTTCTCTAAATTTATGTTTGTCA